CCAGAGGGTGCCACTACAGTCACTGACACTCCGGCGCCAGGTCCTCGGTGACACAATTAGCTCCTCCCACTCCCCGATAGGCCACACCCGCCAGTGCCCGAGGGGGAGGAGCCTCGTGGTGCCACGCATTAGCGGGCACCCTCAGCTGGCTAGTGCCTGGGACTCGCATCTCTCTGCATTGGACTTCTTAACTGAAGGAAACAGAGTCTTTCACTCATAATTGGCCCCTAATCCCCTCGAGACAAAGCCATCAGAGGAAAGGAACCGGTGATCTATGCAGAGACCGGTTCGTGTCCCCTCGGAGCGGGGAGAGCGCGGTGGCGGGACGAGCGGCGAGGGGAGCGCTCCGATTGGCCCGCCGAGTGCCTGGAGCCCCGCCCACGTCCGAGACCACGCCTGAGGCAAACCAGCAATTTGATAGGTAACAACCCTTCCAGTATCCTTTTTTATTTCCTCCCAAAATACAAAAATGTCCAGAATGATCAGGCTAAGCTCTTCATACTTGCCACCTTAACGAAGAGGGAACGCTGGCTTTCTCCGCCACTTAACATACCTCATAAAAAAGGACACGAGACTGTCGCATGCATTTAAACTATATAATAATCTGCTCGAGAATCTGCACGGTGAGCAGACCGCATTTCCGAACGATGATTAATTGCATTGGAACCCCCTCCCCCTCCTCTCCCCCCTCCCCCTTAACCAGCTGACCGAAGGCCGTTCAGCTGGCGTTGGAGTTTACCTGATGAGATAATGAAAGCCAGGTGAGTTCCTGATTTTTTCCTGCTGATGAAACTTTTACGTAATGGCGGCGGTGGAATCTAGCCTCTCCTTAATTGATCCAAATCATGTGATTTTGGAATTAGCTCCTGACGAAGCCTTTGCCGGAGGGGTCAGAGTGGGAGGTTGTGCTTAGGGCAGGCTGGATGATGGTAAGCCTCTGCTGACGAGGGACTGCTTAGGCAAGTCACACTAGGATTTCCGAGTGAATTTTGTGACGAAAGTTTGGGCCTTCTTGCGGATGCAGAAGGAAGGGGTCCCTGAAACGCCTGTGGCAGGGCTGACTCTCTGCTGAGAACTTGGCTTCCTCTTCCCCCCATCCACTCTTTCTCTCTCTTCTCTCTCTCTCTCTCTCTCTCTCTCTCTCTCTCTGTCTCTCTCTCTCTCTCTCTCTCTCTCTCTCTCTCTCTCTCTCTCTCTCTCTCTCTTCTCTCTCTCTCTCTCTCTTTCCAGAATTCTAAGGAAATTAGATGAAGAATATTTAATTCATTAGAAATATGCCCCATTCTGAAAATTTTATGAAAGAATATTATGAAAAATGTATAGTTTTTTTTTCAATAATTCCACCTCTAAAATTATAAAATCATGGTAATGATTATAATGATAACTACTACTGGTGCTAAATTTGATGGTTATAACAGATTTACTAGTAGTGACGAAATAACAATAAAGGTAGTAACAATAATGAGGATAATAAAAACAAAAAATAATAACGATGATAACAATAACAATGATAATGATGATAATGATGATAATGATATGATAATCGTAAATATAACAATAACAACAACGATGATGACAACAAAGATGATGATGATCACTTTAACAATAATGCTAATGAAGATGATATGCCAGTAAAATAAAAACAATGATAATAAGATGATAATGATTATAACAAAATAATGATTATAATGATAATGATAATAAGAATAATAATGATAATGAAAATAAAGATATTGTTAAAGATAAAGGTAATAATTGTAGTAGTAGTAGTGATATTACTACTGCTACTACTACTAGAAATAATATTGATAGAAATGATAATAATGATAATAGCAATAATAACAGTGATAATGATAATAAAGATATAAGGATAAAAGTAATAATAGCAAGGATTAAAATGGTAATGATAATGAAGTTCAAAAAATAAAAATGATAAAGATGATAATAAGAAAAAAGGATGATAATGATGATAATAATAAGGATGTTAGTATCATAAAAAAATATAGTAATAATAACAATATGATAAAAAACAATGATAATAAAGATAATGATAGTGATAATAATGATGAAAATGATACAAAAATTGTGATGATAACAATAATATTGATAATAGTAATAATAATTTTTGTAGTAATGATAATGATAATGATAAAAATGATAGTAATGGTATTGATAACAATGATGATAATGATAGAGATAATGACAATGATAATAACAATAATGATAACAATAGTAATGCTAATAGCAATGATAATGATGATGATGCCGAGAATATGAATAAAAATGACAATAGTAATAATGATGATAACAATAATAATAAGGATGATGACTGAAAATAAAATGATAATAATGACAATAAATTGATAATGATAGTAATGATTATTATAATAATAATGATAATGGTAATAATAATAGTAATGATAATGATTATAACAATAATAATGATAATAACAATAATAATAACAATGACAATGATGATGATAATAATGATAATAATAAT